CCAGGGGGATGGCCACAACACAGTCCCTTCTCCTCCATTCTCCTCTGGGATCTTGGGCACACACACAACACACACACACACACACACACACACACACCCCTGCCATGCTTTTCAAGGCACTGGGTCTGGGACATGAACCGCGGACTGCCATGTGGGAGCCCAGTAACGTAACTGCTACACCATCTGCTGGCCCCTTTTCTCTCGTTTTTAAGTGAATTGAAATGCCATTACATACACCTCGTTTCTCCCAATTACGGTTCTTTCACCAGCTTTCAAACCTTAAGCTTAAATTTATTTATTTTTATTTATTTATTTTTGGAGAGGTTTTTGCTATAGGGCACATGCACTCTCCAGAAAGACAGAAAGAGACAGACAGACAGAAAGCGAGAAATCACCCCCCCAGGGGGGATGGTCACGCCGCAATCCCTTCTCCTCCATTCTCCTCTCGGGATCTTGGGCACGCACGCACACATGCCCAGCGTGAGTTTAAGCCACTGGGTTTGGGGTTTGAACCGTGGTTGACTCCATGGGAATCCAATGAGGTACCATTACACTATTTGCTAATCCCTAAATTTATTTTTTAATTTTTCTTTTTTTTTTGGAGAGGTTTTTGTTATAGGGTACGTATGTTCGCCAGAAAGACAGAGAGAGACAGAGAGACAGAAAGTGAGAAATCACCCCCCAGGGGGGATAGCCACGTTGCAATCCCTTCTCCTCCATTTTCCTCTCGGGATCTTGGGCACGCACGCACACATGCCCAGCGTGAGTTTAAGCCACTGGGTTTGGGGTTTGAACCGTGGTTGACTCCATGGGAATCCAATGAGGTAGCCGTAACTCTTAAGTGCTGGTCCCTAAAGAATTATTTTTTACTTAACTTTATTTATTATCATTATTTTAATATTTTCAGAGAGAGAGAGGGGGAAAGTGAGAAAGCAAGGATCCAAGTCTGGACTCAACCCACAGTGGTTCATCTGGAGGTCCAGCGCCCTCACCATGCCACCTGCCAAAAATTCCATAATAGCTGTATTCTAGCGACAGGTACAGAGTTCTGTCGTCTACTGACCCCAAAGAGAATAGGGTAATAGGGAACCAGCAGTTAGCGTAATGGCTATGTCGCTGGACTCCCACGTAGTCGACCACAGTTCTTGTCACGCTGGGCGCGTGTGCATGCATGCCTAAGATCCCGAGAGGAGAATGGAGGAGAAGGGATTGCGGCATGACCATCCTCCCTGGGGGGTGATTTCTCGCTTTCTGTCTCTCTGTCTCTCTCTGCCTGTCTGGCGAGCGCAAGCGCCCTATAGCAAAAACCTCTCCAAAAAAAAAAAAAAAGAGAGAGAGAGAATAGGGTAATAAATCACCAGACTACCATGTAACTGTTTTCTAAAGCCCACTTCCTTTTTAAAGTCAGCTATGGTGCTGGCAGGTGGTGTGGTGGTTAAAGGCGCTGGACTCCCAAATGGTTGATCTCTGTTCGAGTCCTGGACCTGGTGGCTTGCTTTCTCACTTTCTGTCTCTTTCATGCTCTGTCCCTCTCTGGTCAAATTAAAAGAAAGAGAGAGAGGGAGGGAGAGAGAAAGAGAAAGAGAGAAAGTTAAATAAAATCATTCTTAAAAAAGTCAGCCAGGGCCAGCAAGTAGCATGGTGGGTAAGGCACTGGACTCCCACATGGCCGACTGCAGTTCAAGTCCCAGATCTAGCACCTTGCTTTTTCACTTTCCCTCTCTCTCTGGTGCATTAATAATAATAATAATAAAATATAAGTAAAACTAAGTAATTAAAAATAAAGCCAGTCCATGGCTCAGACTGGTAGATAAAAACCCCTTCACCTCTATCCCTTCTTTGGCCACCCATAGGGCCCCCTTCCACTGTGCTGGAAGCTTTTCCTCCTTTCCTGATAAACTCTGCTTTGCTCTCCTCCCTGTGTCCGCGTCTGATTCTTCATGAGCTCAGGACGAGACCCAGCACAGGTGTTGGTCTGACCACCCAGTACTCCCGCGTCAAAAGCATGTCCCAACGGGGCACAGTCACGTCACAGTGTCTTCTCCATGTCTCCCTCGTGTCGGGACTTTGAACGCACACCTGGCTTTGATTTTTAAGCCACCAGGCCGAGATTTAAACTGTGCAATGTTGGTCATGTAGATCCAGCTCCCTTAACTACCAGGCCATGGGGGTATCCTACATCTGAACTTCTTTCTTTCTTTCTTTTCTTTTTAAGAGAGATTTTGGCTACAGGGTGTATGCGTTCACCAGAGAGACAGAGAGAAACCACCTCTGGGAAGGATGGCCACATCACAATCCCTTCTCCTCCATTCTCCTCTTGGGATCTTGGGCACACACACATATGCACCGATCTATTTCAGGTCTGCGGGTCGGGGACTCAAACCTCTGTCGACCATGTGGGAGTCCAATGACGTAACCATTATGCCATCTGTTGGTCCCAAACCTGGTTTTCTTTTAAAACAAACAAACAAAACACCTTTATTTCTTTATTTTATTTTAATCTGACCAGAGAGGGACAGAGTGAGAGAGAGGGAAAGCAAGAAAAGCCAGGTACGGGACTTGAACCCGGCTGGCTATGTGGGAGTCCAATGCCTCCAACCACCATGCCACCTGCTGGCCCCTCAAAACTGAATTTCTTGAATGAGAATCATTTCAGCTTTTTGCCTTCTCCCCCCTGTATTGGATATTTGCCCTCACTGCACTTCCCCAGCGGCATTCTGAGACAGTGAGGTAGGAGGAGGTTCCCCGGGCCAGAGGGAGAGCAGCTGAGAACAGAACACAGGCGCGAGGATGATCGTGCCGTGGGGGCTGCGGAAGCTCTGGTGCACAGCTGAATCGCGTGAGAGTCCTGGCAAACGGATGATCCAAGGGCCTAGTCTTTGGTCGGGCAGGCCTGGGCTGGAGTTCCGAATCCACATAGCTGACATGTTATCAGGTGGTGCCGATACCCAGGTCTGGAAACCACCTTTTTTTTTTTTTTTGAGAGATTATTGTAGGACAAGCAGATGGTGTAATGATTACAACGCTGGACTCTCATAGTTGACAGTGGTCTGTGTCCCAGAAAAGAAACTCCTTTTTCTTTTGGAGAGGTTTTTGCTATAGGGCATGTGCAGACAGAAAGCAAGAAATGACCCTCCCTGTGTGTGGCCACACCCTAATCCCTTCTTATCTATTCTCTTCTCAAAATTTTGGATTCACATAGCACACACACCTAGCATGATTTAAGTCACCTGGTCTGGGACTTGAACCACAATCAACTACATGGGAGTCCAGCAACATAACCATTAAACCATCTGCTGGTCCCTGGAAACCACAATTTGAGAACCACTTCGGTGAAGTGCATGACAATCAGATATGTCTACGGCTACTCACCCCTAGAAAAACATTTTGTTTTCCTATAAACTCCAAAAAACATTTTAAAGGATTATTTATTTATTTAAGAATTATCTTTTATTCAACTTTATTTGAATTTGACCAGAGAGGGACAGAGCAACAGAGAGCAAGTGAGAAAGCAAGCCTCCACTTCTGGGACGTGAACTGTGGTTGGCTACGTGGGAATCCAGCATCCTTAACCAGCACGCCGCCTGCTGGCCCCCTGACACATTTCTCGATCATACCTTCAACTTTGCTTTTTTATTTAAAACAAGATTGCTTTGAGTCTTTTCTCATAGTTTCCAACTCTAGGGGAAGTGGAGAAGGGTGAACGTTGAATAGAAGGGGAAGCAGGAAGGGGGATGCTGGAGACTTGTCCCCGTTTTTACAAACAGTGGTTACTGTGAGTGCGCTTTGCCAGAATTCAGTATAATGCATTTTCTGGTGGGGAGGTTGCTAGGGTTCAGAGTAAGACTCAGGAGGCACCACCTCAAGAGAAAAAGGGAAGTTTTATTGTGAGAATGGGTGCCAGCAGGTCTGAAGCTGGAGGTGCTTCAGCCCACCCTACCAGGAGACCTGATGTATTTATTTGGGGGGAACTGAGGGGTAGGCCCCAAGAAAGGCAGGTACTTTGATTAGCTCACTTGCCACTGTGACCTTATCAGCCCATCTGTGGGTGCTGGCTACCCGTAAGGGTGGGTTCTGGGTTCTGACCAGGAGGATTCTGACCAAAGGTCGCTGCAATCCTCTCCTTTTCTAGAGAGGTTTTTGCTATAGGGCGCGTGCGCTCGCCAGACAGACAGAGACAGAGAGACAGAAAGTGAGAAATCACCCTCCAGGGGGGATGGCCACGCTGCAATCCCTTCTCCTCCATTCTCCTCTCGGGATCTTGGGCATGCACGCACACGAGCCGGGCATGAGTTCGAGCCACCGGGTCTGGGACGCGAACCGCAGTCGACTACGTGGGAGTCCAGCGACATAGCCATTACGCTAATGCTGGTCCCACTCTCCTTATTTTCTGATGGGAAATTGCCTGGAGGCCATTCAGCTGAAGGAACAGAGGTAGCAGCAGGTTGTAAATTTAGTACATTTCAGTCTCTTAGAAATGTTAGATGCAATTAAACGAACAAATTATAGTTACAACATACACACCCATAAAATACAAGCTATGGACGTGTTTATAACAGATGTTATTTTTTCTCTCCCTCCCCCAGCTGACAAGGTGGATTAAGTCCCCAAGGTTTCAGGTGGGACAGGGAAACGACTGAGGCTTCCTATTTACGTCCATTGACAGGAACTGGGTAGTTGGGGAGAACACTCCTCTGCCCTGAGCACTCCAACCCAGTCCACAAACCAGTACCACCTCCAGGAGAGGTAAGAAAACAAAATTAGACTTTGTTGAAAACAAGATTTTGCAAGTTGATGGTGAAGGCATTCCGTGGGCAACACAACCCCGAGCGAGCGCCTTCCATAACTTTCCTGCAGGCTTCACAGAGGACCTGATTGCTTTAATGCAGAGCAGATGACCAACGACCCTATTAGCCCAGGCCACGCCCACTCACCTTTCACCATTTGGGTCCTTTAATCCTTTAATCATTAAATCATTACCATTAGAATAGCCTGGAAGATTGGCTTATCTGTAATTTAAGAGGAAACTCACTGGAAACTTTGAGGTTGGCTCTTTCTCCACTGTGTGTTGGTGTTTGAGTCTTCAGTTCCTCCCAGGCTACCTCGAAGCCAGTGGTCCAGCCTCGTCTTCACTGGGACCCCAGACCCAGTGAGAGCTCAGAGGGCCGACCGGACGGGTGATGGACCCACCAGAGAAACTTAACCCAACCTTGACCCCGGGGTCTTCCCCGATGTCCACTGAAGAAAACTCCCAGGAACATCCAGGTAAGTCCGATCATGCTCTTCTTGGCTACAGGGTCGGTTGTCCTGGTTGTTACAACCCCTTCGGTATTTTCTAGAAGACAGTGGTTAAGCAAACCTCAGGGCCAGGGAGTGAAGCTTCTTCTGGTGAGAAAATTGATCGAAGAAGGAAAAGAGGGGTGGTGAGAATCACATTATTTGCTCACTGTGCTTAGGCATACTAGAGACTTCTCAGGTCAATTTCGGAGATGAAAATATTGGAGTCCTCACAGCGTGGGGGCAGTATTTCCCCCGTGGCAATTCCGGCAGCAACCTTGAAAAGGAATACGTATGAGAAACAGGAAGGTGTATAGTATATAAGGTTTTTGCCATAGGGCTCCCAGGAGAGGAGAGACAGACAGTGACGCGGTTGGGGGTGGTGGTGGATGGCCACACCGCAGTCTCTTCTCCATTCTCCTGGGATTTTAGGCCCGCACACGTGACTGGTGTGATCTTTTTCCACGTTGCCAGTCTGGGACGTGAACTGCAGATCGCGTTGTGGGAGTCCAGCGCTTTAATCATCACGCCCCCTGCTGGCCCCTAAAGATTGCTTGATCGCTCACCAACCTTTTGGAGCTCGTCTTTCCAGCTACGTTTACCCGCTAGGAGTGTTAATAAACAGGAAAGCAACTTTTCAGGAGCAATGGGAGGGAGGGGGGTTTCTAGGGAGCGCGAGAGCGTTCTGTAATGTAAATGAGGAGTCGGGAGACTTGGGGCGCTGCTGGGGGAGTGTCTAACCTGGCGCTTCAATGTCCCCTAGGTGCGGCCTTCCCGGTGTCTCCCCCGGGCAGAGCTCCTTTGCTGCAGCAGCTCCCAATTCCGGATGTGGCGACGGAGGCCGGCCCTCTCGGTATGAAACGTTGGCTGGATTAGGGCCCGCTGGGTGGTGGTGGGGGCACGGCGTACACCACGGCACCCACCGGGCAGCCAGGATGCTGGGCGCGCCGTGGGGTGCACCTGGCCCTGACTGACAGCCCTGGGGTTCAAAGGAAGAATCCTGATTGATAAATCAGGAAGGGAGAAGTTGGGAGTGCGGAATGGAGTGTCTGGCAGCCCCGGTGTTTCTTCGTGAATCTGCCTTGGTGTACCTAACAGTACCTAAGTACCCTTAATATTTAATGCCTTTTAACTGTATTTGTTTAGTTTAACTTGACCAGAGAGGGACAGAGTGGTGGTGGTAGTGGGGGGGGGGATGAGAAAACACCGCCAGGTGCGGTCAGCCATGTGGGAGTCCAGGGCCCCTAACCAGCGCGCCACCTGCTGGCCCCAGTGTCAACTTTCTCACGGGGTGAGATCTGAGAGTCTGGCACGCGCCTGGCTGGGCTGGGAAGAGGCAAGAATGAGTTCCTAAAACACTGGTTGCAGTGGAAAGACCTAGTAACATAAAGAGCTGCGTGAGGACTTTTTAATTTAATTTAATTTAATTTTATTTTATTTTATTTTAGAGGTTTTGCTATAGGGCACATGCGCTTGCCAGAAAGACAGAGAGAGACAGAAAGCGAGAAATCACCCCCCAAGGAGATGGCCATGCTGCAACCCCTTCTCCTCCATTCTCCTCTGGGACAGACCTGGTTGGAGTAGGAGGCCGACCTGGCGACCTTGTGCCCTGACCGCTGTATCTCTCTCTTTCAGTGGCCTCTCCTCCCGCCTGCTCAGAAACGTTGCTAAGTGAACTTAGGAAGTTGACTCTCAACCCTCGTACTGGACTCCTCTCCCCTGGATCAGCTCGATCCCTACGGCAGGGAAGAAGGGGAGACATCTTTCAGGAGATGGGAGATGGCTTCCCCTACAGAAGGAAAGGAGTAAGGACGCTGTTTTCTGTGAGGAAAGAGAGGATGGTAAAACTGCGATACCTTTTAATCAACAAATTTTCTCGGGTGAGTTGACGTGACGGGTGTCTGTCGGGCAGACGGCACTGCCCGGCTCCAGGGGGCGGCACATGATGAAGGATGTAGACAGTGATAAACGTGTCGTTCATGCAAAAGGATTTTTTAAAGAGTTTTTGCCTTAGGGCACATTTGCTCCCCAGGGAAGAGAGACACAGAAGGAAAGTGAGAGATCATCCCTTTAGGATGATGGCCACGTCCCAATCCCTTCTCCGTTCTCCCAGATCCTGGGCACACACGCACATGTGCCTGGCGTGATTTTTCAAGTGACCAGGTCAGGACTTGAACTGCATTGGCCATGTGGGAGTCCAGTGACATAACCACTACACCATCTGCTGGTCCCAGCAAAGTGATTTGTTTTAATTGACAGAGAGTGTATGCTACACAGAAAGAGAATGGAGGTAGGGGGAGCTGAGAAGAGAGAAAATACCACCTAGTGAGGTGTGGTCACACTGACTTTTTTTTTTTTTTTTTTTGGAGAGGGGTTTGCTATAGGGCACGTGCACTATCAGAAAGAGACAGAAAGCAAGGACGGCCATGTCGCAATCCCTTCTCCATTCTCTTCTCAGGATCTTGGACACACACACACACATGTGCGCGCCCGGTGGGAGTTTAAGCCACTGGGTCTGGGACTCAAACCACAGTTGATTACATAGGAGTCCAGGGACATAGCCATTATACCCCAACTGCTGGTCCCCTGAATACCTCTTCTGTTTCTCAATCCTGTTGCTGTTTTAGGCATGTACACATATACCCGGCATATTTTTATTTTCTTCTTTTTGTTTGAAAGAATTAATTTAATTTCATTCATGATTTTTAAAAAATTTTTTCTTTTACATTTATTCATTCGTTTATTTTCCGTTTGACCAGACGGAGTTAGGGCAGGTGAGGAAGCACCCTCTAGGTGGTGTCATGCCACAATCCCGACCCCCTCCCCCCCTCCCCCCCCCTGTAATTCCTTTCTGGATTTTGGGCACGCACGGGCATGCATCCAGTGAGTTTTTCAAGTGGCCGAGTCCAGGTCTCGAACCCCTCAGTCAGCCATGTGGAATTCAGCTGACTTAACCACTAGGCCATGGGGCCAGTCCCGTGCCAGTTTTTGAGCATGTGTGCACGAACCTGGCATGTTTTTCAAGATGCCCAGGCTGGGTTAGAACACGTGTTGGGCCCTGTAAGATCCGACTCCCTTACCTAGTAGGGCACAGTACTGGCCCACGGTTCTTGGGTTTTTAAGGTGCCGTACTAGACGCGTGTAACTTTTTCTTGATGGGGTTTTCAGTGAATGTTTCTTTTTCTTCCCATGAAGCTTGAAAGAGAACTAAGAGACAGAAGGCTTAAGGAAGGTCAGGTAAATAGCTCTTTGTTTCTTGCTGTACTCGTGGGTGGGTTTTTGGAGAGGAGGGAAGGGGGATTGGATGGGCTTTCCCTTTCTAAATTCCAGTAACTGGAGAAACCAGTTCATTTTTGTACATGTTAAAGCAGTGCTTCTTAGAGCAGTTTTGTGTTCGCGGCAAAATTGAGCAGAAAGTGCGGTTTCCCCGGACCCTTGCTCTCCCCGGCCCTCACTATCCTCATCACACACCAAAGTGCTACATTCATGATGCCGAGAAACCGTTGCGCCTGCGTGGACGTGGCTTTCTCGCCAAAAGCCCGTAGCTTACCTTAGGGGTCATTCTTGGTGTGGCGCTTGTACCTGTTCTTTTCTGTCTTATCTTTTTTTCTCCCTATTCCCAGAGGGCGTATGTGCTCCTTGCAGAGAGAGGGAGAGAGACCCTCCCCAGTGAGGCATGGTCATGCCAGTCTCTGCTCCATTTCTCCATCCTGTTGCCATGTGGGGTATTCACGCACGCATACCCAGCATGTTTTTCCAGCTGCTGGCGCTGGAATTTAAACTGTGGTCAGCCCTATGCGATCCAGTGGGCTAACCCCAGGCCGGATTTTTAATGCCAACTCATCTCATACTACATGTGTAACATCAGTAATCTAACCTTTCCTTGACAGCATTTTTCTATGTATAGATGTATTTTTCATTGAGGCATAGTTTGAAGTAGAATGCCCAGGTTGGGGGCGGGCAGTTCTGTATTCTGACATATATGTACAGAAGCAACTGCTCCCCAACACGTGAAGCGTTCCCCTCACGCCACTACATTCCCTGCCTCTTTTGGCTCCCTTCATCCCCAGCTCCACCCCCCTCACGGAGGTCGCTCATCGATTTGCCCAATGGAATGGAAAAGCATGCAGTCGTGTGCTGTTTGGGTCCCTCTATGTAGCAGTTTTGAAATCCCTCCCTGTTGTGTGGGTCCTTTGTTCCTTGCACCTGGAAGCTTTTCTGTATGTGGGAACCGTGACAGTGTGTGACCATTTGTGTCCAAGTTCTCAGAAGTACGCAAAGAACCCAAGGGAGGAGAATTGACGCTAAGGATGAGGCGTTGGGAGCACACCTGAGGTTCCAGAGTGGGAGAGAGGCCGTGCATGTTAGGGCTCTGGCAACAGCCAGAACGGACTGTCTGTGGCCAGCAGAGTGGCCCGTGGGGGCCTTGCCGTTGGCATAAACTGAGCTGGAATGAGTGGGTCCAGCTCTCTGTATAAACTAGGGGGCTGGATAGGCATTGTCTGGGGGTCCAAGGACCATGTCTGTGTCCCTCTGGGAAGCGCTGCGTTGGGTGTCTCCCTTGGGGAGCTGCTGTTGCGAGGCATCTGGGTTTTGCTTGGCGTGCTTGAACTTTGCCCTTGTCTGTTGTGCCTGGTGTTCTTGAACCAAACCTGTAGCACCATTGGATGTAAGTCCACATTTGAGTTCATTTCTTTCTGAACACTGGGGTTTGAACAAGAAGTCAAGGTTTCTGGTTGCTTTTCCATGAATTCTGTCAATTCTTCTGGTGATTGCCCGATCTTCTGGAGCTAATGTCACCTTGACTCCGAAGCTTTGGGGAGGTCTTCTGAGTCTGACACCTTCTGGTCTAGACGTGCATATGCTCAGGTCTGGTAAGAGGGCCTTGAAAGCATTTTCAATAATTTTTTTTCTTTTCTTTCCATGAAGCTCGAAAGAGATTTAAAAGCCTTGAGCATTTCAGAAGTTCAGGTAAATAGATTTTTTTTTAACTAACATTCTGCGGAAAGCATGAACACACACATGCCCAATGTTTTTCCCGCTGTGGGAGTGGGATTCCCACTGTGGTCAGCCATGTGAGATCCGGCTCCCTTAACCGCTAGGCCATATGTCTGGCCCTGCGCTTTCTCAAGTTCTGACACAAACGTGGTCTTTACAGTAGTAACAGGTAGTACAGGGACATACATTTAAGCACAGAGTGTTCGGGAGCTCACATTAAAAGGCATTCATGGGGAGAAAGGGGCAGTCAGCAGGTGGTATGGGGTTAAGGCACTGGACCCTCACGTGACCAACTGAAGTTTGAGTCCCAAATCTGGTGGTTTGCTTTCTCACTTTTTCTTTCTTGGTGAGCACATGTGCCCTATAACAAGTTTTTGAAAAATAAATATTTCTTTAAAAAGGCAAGTTGGGGACCTGCAGATGGCATCATGGCATGTTGCTGGACTTTCATGTAGTAGACTGCGGTTCAAGTCCTGGACTGGTGGCTTAAACTCACGCCAGCCATGTGTGCGTGCATGCCCAAGATCCCAAGAGGAGAAGGGATTGTGGCGTGGCCATCCCCCCTGGGGGGTGATTTCTCGCTTTCTGTCTCTCTGTCTTTCTGGCGAGCGCACGCACCGTATAGCAAAAAAAACTCTCAAAAAAAAAGGCAAGCTGACCTTTAGTAACATCTATGAGGTGAGACCATCAGCTGTTTAAAGCACAGTGTTTGAGGGGGAAAGAATGGAAAGAAAACACTGGATACTTTGTCCAGAACATAGTAATTGGGGCAGATCATTTTCAGGCTTTTGAGAATTTAAATCACGATTTAAAAGAATTGATACATTTTAGCAGCAAGTAAATATATACAAAGTAACTTCTTTAATTTGATGTGTGGAAGTACCTTTTTGACTTGGTTTTATGCTAGTTACCTTATTTTTTTAAAATTTTGCTATTCGGGAACCAGCAGTTAGCGTAATGACTATGTCGCTGGACTCCCACGTCGCCAACCGCGGTTCGCGTCCCGGACCCAGTGGCTTGAAACTCACGCCGGGCACATGTGCGTGCGTGCCCAAGATCCCGAGAGGAGACTGGAGGAGAAGGGATTGCAGCGTGACCATCCTCCCTGGGGGGTGATTTCTCACTTTCTGTATCTATATCTCTCTCTGTTTGGCGAGCACACGTGCCCTATAGCGAAAAGAAAAAAAGAAAAAGAAAATTGCTATTGGCTTACAAGAGAGAGCAAGAAAGCAAGCTGCTAGGGCCAAGACTCGAACTGTTTTTGGCAATGTAGGGGTCCAGCACCTCAACCACCATGCCACCTGCCAGCCCCACTTGTTCTTTTTTTCTTTTGAATTATGGTTTTAATTTGACCAGAGAGAGACAGAGGAAAAGTGAGAAAGCAAGCCACCAGGTCCAGAACTTGAACCTTGGTTGGCCATATGGGAGTGTCCAGTGCCTTAACCACTGTGCCACCTGCTGGTTCCCGACATTTGTTCTTTTATTATTATTACTTGAAAAATTTTTTTAAAGAATTATTGAACTTTATTTTGTAAGTAATTATTTTATTTATTTAACTTAATGTATTTTAATTTGACCAGAGAGGAACAGAGCAAGAGAGAGAGAGAGAGGAAAAGTGAGAAAAGCAAGACTCCAGGCCTGGGACTTAAAAATCACAGCCAGCCACGTGGGAGTCCAGCACCTTCCACCACTACACCACCTGCCGACCTCCATTTGTTACTTTTTAAGAAACAATAGATTTAAGGGCCCCTAACATTTCTAAAGGGGTATGGCGTCCTGACTGATCCATTCTTGTTTTTGTTTGTGTTTTCAGAATGAACCAAGAAGTGAGCCGTTCAGATGCCGCTGCAGTTACTGCGTGTATCATGGGTGGGATCCCTCCGAAAACGCTAAAATAGGGAGTACTAATGACCCAGAGTCGATTTAGACGTGTTGTTCTCTCCTGCCGGTAACCGTATGCCGCTGACTGAGAAAGCTACTTGTGACAGCCCGAGTTTTGTGGCTTAGTTTTCTATCTGCATCTCTGTCTTGATGCCGGGGGTTTATAAACAATATGTGTAGTTTGAATATAGACGAATGAGTTCAAAGTACAATGTTTGCACTTCCTGATCTGACCCAAGAAGCACCAGTAGTTCTCGGGTATGTGTGTTTTAGAAGCCTGGAGCATGAGATGAAGCCCAGCATCCAATCTTGAGCAAAATGATTTATGGGGAAGGGGTATATTTTACTTTTCAGTGGCAAATAAATGTGTGTGTACAGAAAATTTCATTAAATTTGATGTACTTTAAGTAACTTTTTGATTTTGTTTATTCTCTTGCCAGTTACGTGTTTATTTTAATTTGCTCTGGGGTTGACGAGCAGGTGGCATAGTGGTTAAGGTGCTGGACTCCCACGTGGCTGACTGGTTTGAGTTCCAGGCCTGGTAGCTTAAATCACACCGGGCATGTGTGTGTGCATGCCTAAGATCCCAGGAAGAGGGAACCAGCAGTTAGCGTAATGGCTATGTCGCTGGACTCCCACGTAGTCGACCGCGGTTCATGTCCCGGACCCGGTGGCTTAAAACTCACGCCGGGCGCGTGTGCGTGCGTGCCCAAGATCCCGAGAGGAGAATGGAGAAGGGATTGCGGCGTGACCATCCCCCCTGGGGGGTGATTTCTCGCCTTCTGTCTCTATGTCTCTGTCTGTCTGGTGAGCGCACGCGCCTTACAGTGAAAATCTCTCCAAAAAAAAAAGTTCCAACCGTGTAATAACTGGTTGGTTCCTCTGACAACCAACCAGCATTAAGCATTAATAAGAATAATTGGCCAAACAAACAATGATTTGTTGTGGCCACCAGGTGACATGGTGATTGGGGTGCCGGATTCCCACGTGGTTGATCACAGCTTGAGCCCTGGACCTGGTGGTTTGCTTTCTCACTCTCTGTGTCTCTCCGGTCAACCTGATGAATAATTATAAATAAAGTTAGATAAATGATTCTTTAAAAAAAATATTTGTTTGGGGAGCGGGCAGGTGTTAGGAGTCTTAGGTTAGGAGTCTTAGGTTAGGAGTCTTAGGTTCCCACACAGTAGTCCGCAGTTCAAGTCTCAGACCTGGCGGCTTGCTTTCTTCCCATCTTCTTTCATTCTGTCTCTGGTCAAACGAAAATAAATCAAGTTAAATAAGATAATTCTTTTAAAAAATGAAATTAAAAATTATTTGTTTAGGGACCAGTAGATGGCATAATGGTTACGTCGTTGGACTTGGTGGCTTAAAACTCATGCCTGGCACCTACGAGCACATGCCCAAAATACCCAGAGGAGAATGGAGGAGGGACTGCATACACCATGGCCGCCCTGGGGGGATGATTTTTCACTTTGTCTCTGGCTCTCACTGTCTCTCTGGCCAGTGTACACACCCTATAACACAAAAATAATTATTTGTTTTTGGAGAGGTTTTTGCTATAGGGCTTGTGCGCTCGTGGCAAAGACAGAGACAGAAAGCGAGAAATCACCTCCCAGGGGGGATGGCCACCCGCAGTCCCTTCTCCATTCTCCTCTAGGTATCTTGAGCATGCACACACGCGCACGCGCCCGGCGTGAGTTTAAGCCACCAGGTCTAGGACTCAAACTGGTCGACTACGTGGGAGTCCAGCGACATAGCCATTACACCAACTGCTGGTCTGGTATTGTTTTAGTTTGATATAGAGAACATGTACTCACTAGACAGATACACGCATGCAAAGTGAGAAACAAGCCACCAGGTCCAGGACACAAACCATGGTGGGCCCATGGAGTCCAGTACCTGAACCACCACACCACCTGCTGGCCCCATGTCTATTGTTTTCATCGCTGTAGGGTAGGGCACAGGTGCTTGGAAGGAGTCAGAAAACGCACCCTCAGAGCAGCATGGCCACACTGCACTCTGTTTTCTCTATTCATCTTTACAGTGTACGATATTTCTTTTTCCAGCATAAATGTGGCGCATATCAGTTAAGACATCAGCATATGCATTATCAGCAAATAACTTCATTTTTGTGTCCATCAAATGTATTTTTTGAAGTAGATGGTGTGATGGCTACATGACTAAACTCCCGCGTAGTAGACTGCTATTCAAGTCCTGAACCCCATTACTTAAAACTCACGCTGGGAGACCAGCAGTTGGTGTAATGGCTATGTTACTGGACTCCCATGTGCGGTTTGAGTCCCGGACCTGGTGGCTCAAACTCCCCGCACCCCTGCCCGCCCTGGCTGCAGTGCACGCCCCGGGAGCCCTCTCCTGGCGCGGGCGGCGGAGACGCAGAGCCGCGCTGGAGGGACTCTCGCCGGTCACTGCTCCCGCTGCGTGTTTTCCAGGGCACTGGGGCGTGAACCTCGGTCGGCCACGTGGAGTCTGACTCCCGGTGTGTTTCAGGTCACGGGGTCCAGGACTCGGCCCAGAGTGGACCTGCCGGTCCAGCACGTATTGTGTGCCATCTGCGGGTCGCATGCCTGGCTTTCTATTCAGTATCATGTCCATACTGATCAGCTGTAGCTTGCTGTTGTGCTCGTTTCCCTAGGAAGTAGCCCGCTCTTAATAACGTATATAAGTAACGGGCCAGCGGGCGGTGTGGTGGGTAAGGTGCCGGCCTCCCACACCGCCCACCACCGGTTCAGTCCTGGACCCCGTGACGTGGAAATCACACTGGGCGAGTGTGTGTGCCGAGAGGAAAAAGGAGAAGGGATTGTGGCCTGGCCACCCCCCTTGAGGGGTGATTTCTCACTTTAAGCCACCGGGTCCAGGACTTGAACCGCCTTCAACTACATGGGAGTTCAGTGACATAGCCATTACGCTAACTGCTGGTCCCAGTAGCCTGCTCTTAATAACATATAAATAAGGGGCCAGCAGGTGGTGTGGGTAAGGTGCTGGCCTCCCACACCGCCCACCATCGTTTGAGTCCTGGATTCCGTGATGTGGAATTCACACTGGGCGAGTGTGTGTGCCGAGAGGAAAAAGGAGAAGGGATTGTGGCCTGGCCACCCCCCTTGAGAGGTGATTTCTCACTTTCCCTCTTTCTGTCTGTTTCTCTGTGGTGAGCAAATATGTCCTATGGCAAAAACCTACCCAAAAAATCAACAAAATATATTTAAACTTAATTAAATACCCAGGTATTTTAGAATAAGAAAATGACCCCAAATTTTAGTGTAATGGCTCTATCGCTGGACTCCCATGTAGTCGGCTGCAGTTTGAGTCCTGGACCTGGTAGCTTAAACTCACGCTGGGTGTGTGTGCGTGCGTGCCCAAGATCCCGAGAGGAAAAGGGATTGCAGTGTGGTCATCCACCCTGAGGGGTGAATTCTTGCTTTCTGTCTCTCTGTCTCTCTCTGTCTTTCTGGCAGGTGCATGTGCCCTATAGCAAAAAACCTCTCCCCCCAAAAAAATATTTTCTTAGAATTATTTTCATTTATTATTATTTTTTAAATTTGACCAGAGAAAGAGAGAAAAGGAAAGTGAGAAAGCAAGCTACCAGCTCCAGGACTCAAATTACAGTCAGCCATGTGGAAGCCCAGTGCCTTATCTACCATGCCAACTGTTGGCTCCCAAATCCTACATTTTTTAAGAAAAACAATGGAAAGTTTGGGGTCAGCTGGTGGCATGGTGGTTAAAGGCTCTGAACTCCCACATGCCTGACCATGGTTCAAGTCCTAGACCTGGTGGCTTACTTTCACACTTTCCCTCTCTGTCTCTCTCTAGTAAAGTTAAAAACAAAACAAAAAACCCAGAAAATGGAAAATTTAGGTTGTAGGCTTACACCAGAATATTGATATAAAACTTTCTTTTTTTAAAAATTATCTCTTGGGGGGACCAGCAGTTAGCGTAATGGCTATGTCGCTGGACTCTCATGTAGTTGACCGCGGTTCGCGTCCCAGACCTGGAGGCTTAAAACTCACACCGGGCGCATGTGTGCATGTGCCCAAGATCCCGAGAGGAGAATGGAGGAAAAGAGATTGCGGCATGACCATCCCCCCTAGGGGGTGATTTCTCTTTCTTTCTCTCCGTCTCTCTCTGTCCAGCGAGCGCACGTGCTCTATAGCAAAAAAAAAAAAAAAATTGCCTCTTGGGACTAACAGCATAATGGCTACATCGCTGCACTCCCATGTATTTGATCACAGTCTGAATCCCCGACCTGGTGGCTTAAACTCATGCTGGGTGTGTGTGTGTGCGCATGCCCAAGATCCTGAGAGGAGAATGGAGGAGAAGGGATTGCAGTGTGGCCCTCCCCCCCTTAGGGGTGATTTCTCACTTTCTATCTTTTTGTCTCTCTGTCTTTCTGGCAAGCGCATGCGCCCTCTAGCAAACCTCTCCATAAAAAATAAAAAGCAAAAGTTCATTTGGGCTGTCAAAGTTGCAACCCGGGAAGCATAGATCCAAACAGTCATGAAAATGTGCTCCAAGGCTTTACAGGGCCAAGCAGATTTTAAAGACAAAAAAACACAATTGGGAGGAGGGGAAGATTACATTTTATTTATCTATTTTAATTATTTCATTTAACTTCATCCATTTACTTATTTAAATTTGACCAGAGAGGGACAGTGGAGGGGAGAGAGCGAGAGAGAAAGAGAGAGAGAGAGACAGCAAGACGCCAAGTCCGGGATTCGAACCATGGTTAGCCATGTGGGAATCCAGCACCCTTAATCACCACGCTACCTGCCAGTCCTCTTTTTTTTTTTTTTTTT